AGGAACGGCACTTTGAGCGAAAAGGAAGGCATAGGTGTCGATCGGCGCTCACTTCGCCCACACCGCTGATTTGCTAGCAGGATTTTCCCGAAACGCCAGCCTCCTCGTCTATCCATGCCAATGCTACTTTTTCGGTTAGAAACCTAGTCGCTATTAAACTATTCCTACCACAGTCTTCCAAAAACAGGCTGGTTTTTCACCGACTTCTTTCCACGAGGGCACACTTGGCCGAAAATCTGCACACAGGGATAGTTGACCTTCTTAACACAAATATCACATCCGCTTAGCCACAATACTGGCTGGCATCACGCCACAGGCGTCAGGCGCTGGCGCCAAAACACCCTGTATCACCAGAATCGATGAAAATTTAGACACGGGGGTTATTTGACAACCTGTTTACAGGGACATTTATTCTTGGCGCCGGCGCTAGGTGGGTATTATGATCATCTGCGTTCTGTCAAGGCTGAGCCTCACCAGAAGGCAACCACTCCTTCTCCCAGGTTCATCCTTAGCAGAACGCTAAATGGCGCTGGTGTCGAGAAATAAATGCCATATTCGTGATCAGGGCATCAAACAGCCCTATTACGCAAGTTTTTATCGATTTTGGGGAAACGGGGTGGCGCCAAATTGGTGCCTAGTGGTGCGAAATGGTGTCAAAAATGAATGCTACATTCGTGATCAAGATTTCAATCCACTCCCGTGTACAGGTTTTGATCAAATTTGGTGAGAAAAGTGGTGGAGCCGTGTTGGCGCACACTGGCGCATGTTGATGCCAGCGCCAGAAATGAATGTCATTTTCGTGACTAGGACATCAAATGACATCTGCAGGCAGAGCTTCAGCAAAAAAATTGTGTTTTTGGGGTAAGAATAGTCCAATAGTGCTAAAACGCCGATTCGCTCTAATAAATATCCCAAATCGCCAAGTCGCGAAGTATGAACGCAGTCTCGCTGCCGCTGGCCTGACTACTATTTCGCCGACAGAGCGCAGACGAGCAAAGAACGAGCATGGCCTGATCTCACTTTCAACAACTTTGATACCCGTATCTTCGTTGACGCGTTGAAAATTCTTGTTCTAACCTTTAAAAAACTATTTTCAGAACTCGATTGTGATGGAATACTTCACAATAATCGGAGCGTTGTCCAAGAAGCCAAACTAATGCAGTATAATACGCATGCTGTAGAAAAACTTATATTAGATGCTGATGATAGGTGAAATTTATAGTAACTATTTAAGTGAGCGAATTTGAAGGCAAGGCACGATTATTTGGTACTTGCTCAAATAATAGCAGAGATGCTGACCGGTGAGAAGAAAACGACCAAAAACCTGCGAGAAAAGCTTCTGTTCTCCACTCCATTGGACGAGCATTTTGGACGAGTTTCCTGTTGGCATCAACCAATAACCGCTTTGATAGTTACGAAAGCACATCCGTGTTCATAGAGGAAGTTAGAGACATATTGTGCAGACCTTTAGGTGGAGAGTCCCCCTTCTATCCCTTAAGGGCCCCCTTCTGTACGACCCGCTTTACAACGTATTTTGCGAAATTTTTGCTGTCGAACGGGAAGGAGGGGGGCTCGATAGCAGTAAGTTTCGCGTGCGAAACGACGTCGCGGCCACGCCTACTAGCGCTCTCATTGGACTGTTCTCTTATAGGTCCAGAGCAATTGTGCACACATGTATGACCTGAATAGTGTTTTCAATGGACAAAGGGGATCGTAGTAGCGCTTACCATGGAATACTGCTGTTTTCTGCACAGCGGCGTGCGCCGAATTTTCGGGGCCACTACCACACCTGATCGTGACCCCCCCTAAGAAGCTATTTGAGTGAGCTATATGTGACAATGTGCAGAGTTCTTACGTTGCTTGCATTGAAGAGCGAAGGTGTGTGGATAGACAAGAACAAATTGTTGTTCACAACCTGACCCCGAATAATTTCAGGTGTTTTGCAATTCGTAGTCTATTTGGATTCGATCGAAAGCCAGTTTCGCAAGAAGAACTCGATTATCCTCTGGCATATGGCTTAATCGTCTACAAAAACGTCGTCCAGGTGAGTGCCCCTCTTCCACAA